AATTTTTTAATTTTTTTTTTTTTTTTTTTTTTTTTTTTTTGCGTAGTAATCTAAGGGGTAAATGATCGATTATTTATTTATTTATTATCAAAAGCACCCCATATATCTGATAGCCACGATTAACAATTACATCAAAATAAAATGCAAGACTACAATTTAAATTTGGAGTTTACAATAAGCAATTTTTCTCCTTTGTCTTTTGGTAGACAAAGCTTAAACGGCAAATTATTTATATTTTTATTGTTTTATTTTTTAAGTCTAAAAATATAAACTTTAAAGGATGTGTTGGATTTTTTACCCATGGGTTCTGGATTTTTTTTTTTTTTCGTTTTTTTTTTTTCAATTGAAAGTGCAATCTTTCAGATTGATTTGATTTGGCTTGAAAGCTTGTCGAGGAGAAGGATCAATTAGATGTCAAAGAAGTAACCCAATCTAGTCTGAGATGTACAATAGACATTTGTTCGACTTGTCGAGTGTTACCCACCCTCATAACATTTGAGACATGATCTTATCTTCTACGCTGAAATTGTACGTAGTCGAAAACCTCAGTGAGCGAGTTTATGCTTAGGAGATCAAAAATTTATTGTGAATTTCCCAACATTTTAATGTTCCACTGTATGAATATTGAAGATACTGTATGAATATTGAAGATATTTTTAAGAAAAAATAATTTCACTTATAAATTTTATTCGACATTAGTCACCAGACTATAAAATATTCGTCAACTCAGAAGATCATCTACCTACAACATCAAGCCAAGACATTTTCAACATCTCCAATTCAAAAAAATATATAATCATTTCACATCAAATTAAGCAATTAATGCGGTGATCAATGTGAAACAAAACCTAGGCAAGTGACAGATTGTAATTAAATCAAAGTAGAGATCAATCCAGTCAAGGTAGTAGTAGACAGAGGTTATGATTGATTCAAGAAGGAAAAACAAGAAGTTTACATTCAAAACATATACCGATATATATATAAAGGAATAAAGCTTCTGCACAGACCCCTTAGGGTCTGTACAGGGGCTCACACATGGGGGGTGGACCCCATGTGTGAGGTCTACTCCCATGTGTGTGCATCTGTACATACCCTGTGCAAATAGGTTTCTACGAATAGCACAATTGATATATAAATAGATAAATCATTCCCTCTATAAGAGAGAATCTGACTAGGGTATGCAAATGACCCTGGCCATTTAGCATTTCTCATATAAATATAGCTTAAGCAAGCCAAATTTCCAAACATACGGGACAGCTGAAAAATAACTTACACTAAAAATTGATTTCAAGAATATGGAAACAAAATATTAAAATTTTTCAACAAACATGTAAAAATATGAAGACGCAAGAATTTACAAAACTGTGTTGATATGAAGTGCTTTGAGTAATGAAGTGGCCATTTGTTTTACCAGAACTTGGCCACCAGAACTCTGCCCATCTCTTCTCTCCTCAATCAAATTTTGAAGCTTCTGAGGTAAATCATTCTCCACAATCAGTTGCTTTGGACGAGGATGGTGCTCATAAACAGCCTGACAAATAAAAAACCAGAGTCGATCATCAAAAGGTAACGTGCTCAAGTGCCCAATGTATAGCATTTTACTTGACTCAACTGCAGATAGCTATTAAATTGCCGTCAAATTGTACTATTAACTTCCATGATCGTAATTTGCTAGAGAAGCACACAGTCCCAAGTACTTAATTTAATGAGCTCATAACAACAAACAAAATCAAATAAAAGCTTCTCAAAAGAATCATTTTTAACCGAAAAATATAAATATCCAAAGGTCATGTGAAACTAATAATTGGTTACCTGAAATCGCATTTAATATGAAATTTTCTATGGAAATAGTGAAATGCACAGACAAGTAATTGATGAGTATCCGTAAAAAGGTATAGAGACTAGTATTCTTTATAAATCACGACGGCTGATAAGTATGCAAATCAATCGTACAAAAGAATGACATACCGTACACAAGTCCTTGAAATGAAGAAAATAAAAATAAAAAATGGCAAATCATTGCTATTTACATAAATTTTTTACTGCTCATTTGTATCAAATCCATTTTCTATTGGAATAAACATTGACCAATTAAAATTTCAAAACGAGTGCTGAGGTCTTGTAAACATGCTTGAGTAGAAAGACTGCAGGGAGAAACACGTACAAGAGCAGAAATAAGAGTAGAAACAATGATCAAAATAAAGAGATCAATTCAGCAAACCAAAAGAATATGAAAAAGGTTTTGCAGTTACTCACATCAACAGTACCAAAAAGTCTATATGCAAGTGACTATCACAACTAGCACATGTAGTTCAACTTTGATAAAGTCTCTCTGTAATGTTATTAGGTTCGTCCATTTTAGCAGACAAGAGGGGGCAGGGAGGAAGCACTAAACATAGAATGAAGCCCCACTCTACCAAGTAGAATTTACTGGAGAAGCTGCTGCCCGTCTTTACTATAGGAAGTTCCTGAATATACTAATAACTTAATCTATCCAAGACATATAACATTGTACAACTGGTATTAGGACAGTGTGTGAACTATGTAACATGCAACAGATGCAGCATAAGAATTATCCCTTGCTCACCTTAATTAGTTTAAGCAAATTCAGGCGAGCTATAGCATCTGGATGGTCAAGTCTCGAAATCAGGAGTGGTGTCAAACCGTTGACTGCAAGAGTGGTATTTATTCGAGATGATTTCCTGCAAAATAATAAAAAAAATGAAAGAAAGCATCAGCGAGTTTCTTAAACTGAAAAGAAAGCAGAATAACGTGTTAATTGCATCCCTTTTCAGCTAGAAAATTGCTAAGAAAAGGTAAACTAAAAGATGGGTGCAGATCTAAAAATTGGGTTAGTCTGAACAAATGGCTTATTGCGGATGAAGTCATAGAAACAGATTTTCCTTCCTTCAATTGAATCTGTTGTTCACTTAACAATTTTCAGTCTTTTAGTAGAAGGTTACCTATCGATATCTAGATTTTTCAGGGATGTGTCGAAAAGTAAGTCCTTTCTATGGAGAAAATCTTTTGATAGGCAGTTACCTATATGAAGTAGAGTCTCTATGTGTTGGGATAACTTTAGAGAGACCACTTCTAGTATGGTCTAGTAGTAGTTCTTTTTATATTAGTTACGATGTGAACCAGCAATAAAATGGTCATTTCAATTTTTTCACCACAGCATGAGAGTTTAGTTTTAAAGAATCTGCAACTCTTCTGAACCCACTTGTGTTTGGGATGCAAAGCAGACCCAGATGCAAGGTCTGAGGGAAGCAGTGCAATGGCTTAAGTTTCTTTTCAATTCTTTCTGGCTATGCTGTGATATAAAGCCCTTAACATCGGTCAACCACATGATACACTTTGATTTTGATTTGCTGGTACAATCAAAATATATAACACAACATAACCCAATAACAAGAAACATAAAGAGAAATCCAAAGCAGATAAACTGTTGTTCATCCATCCATCAAATCAATGAACAAGTAGGGCTTCTACTTGTGCTTTTTGTAAACGAGCTTCCTGAGGAAACCACCTTGGACCAGCTTCTTCTAAACTTCTAACCAAAAGATATTTCAGAAAATTATCCAATCATACCCAAAAGCAGCTTCTTAGTCTCGTAAGCAGATTTGGCTTTTCAAAAGCACTACTAAACAAGCCCTAAGAGTGTGTTATTTTCAAGGCCAATACTTCAACTTGTGTATCAGCCAATAAACTGATTTGGACTAACCTCCAAAGTTGATTTTGATGCTAAAGCTTACAGGAGAGACCCCTCTCACCTGTCCAGCTTAACTGCTTTAGGTTCAGTTTTAGTGTCATCTTAAAACACTTTTTCAGAAGTAAATAAAGTGACATCAAATGAGCTCTGTAAAAAAGTTCACGTCACCAAAAATGACAAACTATAGCAAAGGTTTTGAAACAGAGGGAGTACTTTTTTTCACACAGACACTTGGAACGGATTTATTCATAGAAGAAATGACATACGTGATAATTTTCAAGAAAGGCTCCAGCATGTGCAAGAAATGCTGCTCTGGACAGCACTGGAAGAACTTAACCAGTTTCTGTACAGCATCCTTTTTCGACAAAGCTTGCTCCACTTTCTTGTTCTCATTGTCATGGGCCAAGCATACAGCTATTGAATCTAATGCCGTCACAGACCAAAACTCATCTTCAAGAAGGCTAAGGTACACATCCAGTCCTCCATGAGCCCGTAATTGCTCCCTTGAATTACGTGATGCATGGGCCATATCACATAGCAGCGGTAATGCATATTGTTTCAATGGAGAATCTGACATGATGAATTGCATCAAGTGTGGAATAATTCCGTTTTCCGCTGCTTGTTCCTGTCTCCGCTTGTTAATCTTGCACAAATTGAAAAGGGCATGGAGAACCTGTAACAATTAAACCAGTGAGACAATATTCAACGATGCATAAGCTTGAGGATATAAGTTACGTGCCTTTCCTTGGGGTACTCTAGTAGATAATGTTTGATATTACAGTTGCCCAGTTCTCTGAAAATTAAATTTTATCTTATTTTACTTTTATTGCTTCAACACCTCACCTCTTGATGTATTTGGGATACAAGGGCACCCTCTCTGAGATCGAGGTTAGGGATCAAATACTTTATTGCATCTGCTCGTTGAAGATGTTCTAAGCAATGTGGATCAGTGGAGAGATGATGAATACACTTCAACAACTACAAGACAAGAAATTAGTAAGGGTGATCAGACCGCAGCAAAAATCAGACAGAATGTTCAACATATAATCTCCAGCATTACCTTTAAAAGAATTGGAGGCTCTATCTTATTGAACATCTGGAAAACACGACTCAGTAAACTTTGGCTACACATGTAAGATTTAACTGTTGTGTCAGCGGCAGCAAACTCAAGTAGAAGGTCTGCTACCTTTTCCAGATATTCCCGAGCTACATCAACATTCCAAGATGATACCATGTGCGATAGTAACCCAGATGATGTTGCACTTCCTGGCCTAGCATTTAAAACTCCAGAACCAGACAGCACGCCTGATGCTGTCTGAGATGCAAGTCCAGCTGTGGAGGCGATTCCGCCATTAGATGTCAGGGATCCTAACTTCTTATTCGCTGTTTTAGGTGAACTTCTAGGTAATGACTCCATGGAGTTTTCCCTCCCTCGTCCAGATACCTCTGGAAAAAAATTAACAAGTATCAGGATCATTTTGTTGATCAACTTTAGTGCAAAGAAAAAATTATTGTGCAACTAAGTTCAATCAATATGCAAACTGCAGAGAAAATTGTAGAGCAAGAGAAATAGATCCAAGAGTCAGTGCCAAAACTCTGGCTTAATTCATTATGCACAATGGCTCTCTTTACTAGGGATGATATGGTTCCAATGAGTGGTTTAATGCAGATGCAATCATGAAAAACATATAGACCAAATACCTGAAAATTCTGCCATCAAAAAGTCCAGCCCATTTGTTTTCTTGTCAACAGATGCATGTAAAAGAGGTAGTATAGTATCATGTTTCTCCAACCCAGTAAGATGACGTACATACTCAAGCTGACCAGAGAAATGGCGTGATGGAGGCTCCTTATCCAACAAACTGAGAAGCGGTCGAACATTCTCTTGTTGAGTAGCAGTAGCTGAAGAAAACCCATTTGATGCCCCTTCCACAACTTTTGGGGGCCTATCCTTCGATGTTATACTTCCTGCATTTGAGCCTCTCTGCTGTTTCAGTTCAACTTCAGCTCGAGACTCTCTCTTTGACGCAGCATTGCTTCCTTTGTCCAAACCTGCAGAATCTGGTAATTTTGAAGCACCAGAAGCCTCCACATTAGCAATATTTGACCGAGGTCTATCAGCATCTGGAGCAAAGAATAGTGAATCAGGAGAATGTGATACTGATGTTTGTGACGGTTCTTGCACTCCTGGTAGTGATGCATGATCTCCTTGTTTCATTTTAAGATGATCGGGTTGATCAATTCCGTAAAATGGTGTATCTGTCTGCACAAAGGAAGGACTGCTAGAATCAAGAGGACCAGATCGTGGTCGTGGTGCTAGCCCATCGGCAGGGAATCCACCACCAACAGCTATGGAAGCCATACGTGTTGCCTCATTCAAGCTATAAAGAGTATTGATAAGTCTGAGTAATATCCCACTCTTGGCAGCAATACGACAGAAATCATTTCTGGAGGTGGACCTCTGAAGCTTGAAAATCTGCCACATGCCATCAATAGCAATATGAACCATTTCCCTAGATAAAGGAATAAAGTAAATTAGTCAATGCATTTACAAAAGAAGGTAAATGAGTTTGCTTGCAAGTCGTTGAAGTTGATAAAATATATATGGATAGAATAAATGTAAAACAAAAAAGAATAAAAAGAAATCCATGTCAAGTCTAAAAGAGAGAGAAATCAAAATCATTTAGCTTCTGCAGCAATGTTCCATGAGTAAATATTTTTTAATCCTTGAGAAACTCCATACATGAGCAATAAGTTCATCCATAAGATTTTTTGACATCATGCAGCACCAAAAGCCTAATCACAAGGTTATCTCCCAAGGTCGATTACATGGATAGTTAGTTTCCCACTCAGCTTCAAGGTCATCTGAAAGGTAGACCAGAACGATGAAAATCCTTTTCAATTTCCTCATACCATGTGATTTTTAAAACATCTTCCCCTGCATTTATCCCAAATATCTGATCGAATTTCTTACCAATGCATCTAGCAACCTCTTTTCGATATGGTCAAAACATGTTAATATTTTCTCCCCTATGTTCAATTGTCGCTACTTTAGTAAACAAGAAGAAAATAAGCATGTGTAAATGTTGGAATCTTCATTTGAAGTATACAAACTACGAACCTATGCTTTGCAGAATCAGCCTCCAGAAAGCCCACAAGGATTGGTATGCCACGACAAGCAATAAACATCTGCAATGTCAATGAGCTGAAGAAACAAATAATCTTATTCTCCGGAATAAAAACAATTTAGATCATCAATCAAACTGCAGTAGGAAGAAACTTAACCTTGATTGGCAGAGCTGCTGCAAAAAGAAAGCTGCTTCCATGCGAACCTCCCGGGGACTGTCAGGCATGGCAAAGCTCATCACAACAGGGATCTGGACCATAATTTAGGCAATATTCAAACACCAAGAAGCTTTATAAAAGAGGGTAATGAATTTCATCTTTTTCCTTTTCCTTTGGTACATGAAGTTGGAAGTTTGGAGTAATACAGGAGGAATGAAGTGCTGCATTTTGAAGATCAATGAATTGGACATCCAAATATCAATTTCAGGCAAAAGATAAGATTTGCAGAGGAGAAATTTCCTTTTCAATACTCATATTAGTCCAATATGGAATCTAATATGTAAATGCAAACATTGATGTTAGAATCTTTTAAAGCATTAAACCTCTTAGCTGGTTATTTAACATGCAATTGAAGAGATGTTAGTCGCTAAAACAAATCACAATAGCCATCATCATATTTGGACAAGCTTAGGTCATTGAAATTTTCAATTCAGAAAATAAACAGGGGTTACCTCACCTTTATCTCACATTCAAGAAAAGAGAAAAAAACATGTAATATTGCAATTTTTAATTTTTATTTCCAGTTCAACAAATATTTCACAGGATAATATGTGCTACACAAATTTCAACAATTATATCATGAATAAAAGTAACCATAAAAATTCTATTAATGTATAGAAATGTAAATCAGAACCAGAATCCACATAAATTACTAGTTGATATATTGGATTGAATCTAGTAAGTGGAGATCCAAGTTCAAAATGTAATTTAAATTAACAAAGCCTGGGTAGCAGCTACATGGATTTTCAACTTCCACTCCGTTGGATCAAGTGTCATCTCCAAAGTCAATCCAGAAAGGCTCAAGTATTATTAGTTATCTTAGTCCATGCAATTCAAGGTCAACATTTTCTCTAGGTTCCATCAATTCTCATAACTGGTTCACTCAATGGCATTCACTAAATATGCCCAAATTATCTCGGCGGGGGTGGGGGATAGAGAACCCGAGAGATTACGCATGAAGGATGCAAATAATTTATTCCCTTCTATTATTGCTATTTTTATGAATGAATAGGAACTTGACACTGTGTCAGAAATTTGAAATTATTCTACATAGATCCACAAACAAAATTAGTGGATTCTTTTGGAAGGCAAGTAAAAAACTATATATGTGGATGATATTCAGCCCCCGTTTGCCCCCATTAAATTCCATATAATTTTTCTCTCTCCTATTTTCAACCACACAATCTTTTATAAAATAATATTACGCATAAAACGAACACTTTTCTTTCTTTTTCAACTACTCATTTTTTGAAAAAATACTATTCCACCCATTTCCATTTCAAACAACGGGTTCCAAACGGGGGCTCAATTGATAGCACTTACAACAACATTCAACAAAAATCATCAAATTATGGATTGAACCAATTCTCACAAAGCAGAGAGACGCTACTGAAAAGAATACTAAAAATACTTACTAGACCGACAAGACAAGCATTCTCCAGGAAGTCTGTATTATCCTTGATTATCTGGTTCACAACTTGCAGCACTGAACAAATGACCTGAAATTTTGTAGAAATCATATCAATAATGAAAGTAAAAATATCACATAATTCAGCAAAAATATCACATAATTCAGCAGGTGACAATAACAGACTTTGAGCTTGATAAGGACTACATACACGAGTTCGTCGAACCTCAAGTAATTCCATTAGAGGAAGCAAACCATGTTGTGTGATGAAAACAATTTTCTGCTCTGGCCGCTGTTGAAAGATAGCACTCAACTTTTGACAAGAAGATACAATGACATCTTCTGGTTCATCTGGTCTCAATGATGACACTAATTTGCTAAATTCAACAGCCTGCACACATTTACAACTTCACAAACTAAACAAAGATCTACTTTACAATTGTAAGAATAGTATCTGCAACAAGAATAAAGACTACAAATAAATAAAAATAATGCAACGTATCAGATCAAGAAGAATAACTGAAGTGAATATTTTATTAGGGATCTGCTTTTTTTCCATCTCAAAAAAGACTTCAATAGTAATGCATTACCTCATATAAGAAATCAAGGCAGCTCGCACATACAAAATTTTCTAATCTAGAAAACTGTATACCTTCCATTATGAGCATACATTATTCAGGCAAATTTTGTTCTAACTTCTAACCACATAGCAAAATTTAAGCACACAAGATGTTTCTCCTCCAATGGATAATTGAAAGAACACAAGCTAAGTTCAATTATATTGTTCCAAAAACAATTAGTATAACAGCTACTAAAAATGAAATGTTGCAATAGGAGTACAAGTACCTGAAGGTGAAAGAGATTTTCTGCAGGCAATTTATCTTCAAATCCCTAATACGCAAAGATTACAGAAAACAGAACTGTCAGAGATGAGGCAACCAAAAACCTGACCAAGCCAGTCAAGATGTCAAGCATACCAAAGCATCGATATCAATTGCATCTTCGTTTAAAACACCCATCATTATACGCAGTAAGTCACCACCATTTGCTCGTGTTGATTCATTCTCCATTTGCTTTTGAGCAATCGTTGCTCTTAACTTTGTCGCCAGATCATTCTTTCCGCTGTCTGAGGCAGCATTGCGTTCATTTACATATGATGAGGTTCCAGAAGTAGAGGCTTTAGCAACCCTATCCTCCAGATTCTCCAGTGGATGAAATAAGTCGTCTAAAGAAGCATCACCAGGAGTGTCACTAAATCTACTCAGCTCATTTCCTCTTGAAACTGTTAATGACTTCACAGCCTTTGTGGAAACAAATAAGATTAATAACGTTATATAAAATGTACATGGAATAAAAGAAAATATATAGAATAGTACAAAGCAATACGTGATGCAAAATTAAGACAGATAAAAGGAGCTTGGAACTCGAATGGAGGATGATTGGCGTATAACATTATTCTGGGTAATGATCAACTTCAGTAAATTGTTATGCAGTAGAAGAGCTACTACTAGAACTTGATGTGGGAAAATAACTGACTATATGAATTGGACAACTCTACACCTCAAAAATTATTTTGATCAGAAGATAAGACAGGAACAAATAGAAAATCTACTTAGCATCATCCTCAGCCTGGATTGTGCCCATAGGTTAGATAAACATGCAATTTAATTGAAGACAATGGGACATCTGGTTGTTCGAGAAGTTACAGCTGGAATTAACCATCAAGTGCTACCATTAAGCATCCAAAAAGCTGTATAAGAACAAGCAGTACCCTCATATTGTAATTCCACAAGCATCACTATCATTTCATGGTAACAACTTTTAAATTAGAGAGTGAGAACCACAGATCCAATATTCCAGCAAAAGATGGAGGAAAGGACAGCCAGTACACAAGTATGAACATGGGTAGCATAAACACCCTCCACTAAATGAATATTCTTTGTCTAAGTTCACATGACTATTTAGGTAGTAATGAAAAAACGTGATATTTAAAACGAATTTGCTACTAATCATGGTAACAAGTTTCCTTTTAGTTGCATTATAGATGTAAAAAGAGACGTAACATAGGATAGCGGGTTCTTATTAGCAATTGAGTACATGTCAAACAAAGTGTAATTGATGAATTGAATATGTGTGTACCCTTGAGCTGAGAAAAGCACCATAAATAATACAAGAGTGTTGGTTTCTAATATAATTTACTGAAGGCATCTTGTTGTCTAGGTTTTGTACTTTAAAAATCTAGCTTAATTGAATTTCTCTAAAGTAAAAAAATCCGAAACCTCTTGCCTTCAGCAAAAATACCAGAATTATAAAGTTTTGTCTCATTAATAGAGTATTATATTGTTGTAATAGAATATCAAAAAAATAAACTCATTTAGTGGACATTTTTAGTGAAAAAAATAGAGGAATACTTTTAATTTTGATAATAATCACGTCAATCAATATCCTATTAGGATCTGTCAGTCTCCAGAGTCTAGATAATTATACAACACAAGTAATTGCAACAATTATATGCATTCCTCATGTACAATAAGCCGGGAAAAAAAGACAGCAAATGGCACAGCTTTACCTTCTGAGGGCCATAATCTTGGCTTTTTGGCCCAAAATCAAATTGCTCGACAGGAACAGAACAGCCCCTTCCTTCATCTTTTCTAGCTACAGCATTTTTCCTGCTAGACACGGGAGATTCCAGCTCACCATTTACCATTGCTCTGTTCTGTTGATCTAAGTTGGACGACTCATATTCCAACAAACTGGAGACTGATGCATCGCTATTATCCCGTATTTGAGAGTTTTCATAGAGAGCAAACGTGGGAATTTGATCTGATGTCATCTCATCCTCAAAGTCAAGAGTTCTTTCCTCAATAAGATCAACAGTAGCATTATCCTCCTCAGTAGACTTGCTGGTCCCCAAAGTGACCTTTGATAGCAACTCTGTTTTGGATTCCTGACATCAACAACAAGCTATTAAAGTAAAATACAAACAATAAACAAAAAAAGTAATACCATTCAATAATAATTTACTGATTCAACACAAAGACAAGAGGAAACAATGAACTCAATATACAGTGACAATCGAGTTAGAAGACAAGACAGTTTCAAACAAAAATTACTTTCTCAGCAGAAGAAGTTTCAATTTTATCCCCTTGTCCATCTCTGTTTAATCTTTCTGTATCACCAGATGCAACTTCGTCGATGTTTCTGCAAAATTACGGAGGCTTTAATATGCTCAATATTTCAATCCACTATTGATATTACTTCAATAATTATGACACTGATCATAAATGGAGAAGCTAAGTTGATAGAAAACACGTATAGGAAAACCAAAAATATTAAGAGCAACTAAAGTTCTTTGTTTGATCCACCGGAACCCATGCCATAATGCTTCAAGGAGATTATTAATGGTATCAAAGCAAGCATGACCAATTCTCAACACCCCCCCCCCCCCCCCGGGGGGACTTTCTTATAAGATCTGTGCAGAACAAAAATGGGTCTCTCTCCCACAGCTTTAGAAGCTGGGAAACAAAATAAAGGAGCATCATAAGTGCAATGCCACACTCTTATTTCTTGTGATTATCATGTCTATCTAGATTAATTGCATTAATACTACGTTTACTGCTTAATTTTAATATAATTATTTTCGTCTTGACTAACTATACAGTAAAATGTACCTTGACGCACTAGACGATCGACATAAATATTACACTTAATTATAATACGCATATAATTTTATTTTTAAGTTTGGAATTAATTATGATCTAATGTTATGTTTTAATTAGTTTTCATCTCCTATTTTACATAGAACGGACCTATATCATTGGTCTTTCCATGTAAGTCAATTTATTAATTGAACTAATAATTAGACATTAAATTGGTAATTTAATAAATTTATGGAAACCAAACGTTATTTCCTATATTCTTTTAAATAATTAACGTAAATGAATAAATGAATGCCCCAAATGGAAAAATTGACTTTTCTAATTTAGACAACGTGATTTGCAAAATGAAGTTAAAACTTTTTCAGTTACTCAATGCAAAAGGCATTGTTTTCAAATGAAAACCAATCATACCTCACATGATCAAAATTTCCCTAAATTATTTCCCCTTTCACGATACTTTTGATGATAAGGTACGAGTTTTCACCTTTAGTCAAGCATGTGCTTCAAATCCAAAGATCTATCATTTGTTTTCACCTTTCACGATACTTTTGGTGATAAGGCATGAGTTTTCTTTTTATATTGTTTGGTTCTTATTTTTGAGGATTTAATCTAAAATTTATGTCATGATCAGCCATTCCCTATCTTCGGCTGGAAATGTCAAGCAACAGAAAATGTTAAGAATTTCAATCAATGTTCACATCCTATGATTAAATATATATATAAATATGTGTATTGTTCCTTCAATTGTTCAAACCCAAGGGCTCATATTTCGAAATCAAGTACTGTGCTTTAATGATATGTTGATTTTTGATTAAGCCATGTTTTGCTCATATTCTAGTGTTTAGTTTCTAGTTTTAGCCCCCGTTTGTTTCCAATTCTTTCCTCATTAAAATGAAAAATATGACCTTTATCTATCACATCAAGCCATTAAATTTGAATTTTTATTTCTTATGTGGGACCCGTAATAGCTATATTTTTCATTCTCATTTTTACATTAATGTGTACCAAACGGGGCCTTATTTACTTAGTTCTTTCTGTGAATCTATAATTTTAATTGAGAAAATTTCTATGTATTAGATGGGGAGTCTTAAATTTATTTATCAATCTATATGCAGAGAAATATAGTTACTTGTTTATTTATAAATATTGAGATTAGTAATCCTTTTAAGTTTTATTTGATTTATAAGTACTATTATAAACTAGTAGACATGTGAAATATTTATGATCGTCAGTCAAGAAATATAATGAAGTAAGGGATAAGATTTAAATTCAATTAGAATATAGTACATGTATGTCTATACTGATTTTTATTTTTTTATTATTTTTTTTCGGTTTAAAATGATTACTTACTGATAAGCTTCTCATAATAGCCGAACACGTGCTAGTCAATCGAGAATTTACCATGACCCCTAAGCATTATGTAAAAACCAATTTACTTATGCGGTCATATCATATAGTCTGGGTTATGCACATATTTGATCATATTAAATAAATGGTGCTCAAAATAGAAACTACAGTAGATCTAATATATTAATAATAATAATCAATGAGTATATAGAAGTTTATTTTTAATCAATGACAATGAACTAGGACTTTTGGCACATTCACTTTGTGGGCGGCTAGTCAAATCTCTATTTATCATTCTAAAAGTAAATTGCTAAGTATTCAAGGTAAGTAAACCTCCCCTTATTTCATGTGTAAATCATGTTGTAATTGCATAAATGTGTTACTTAAATTGTTCTTATGTGAACATGATATTTGGACATTGCTTTTTTAGGTTTAAATCCATCTATGGCACCCAACTTTGTATTTAATGTCACCATAACTACCCAATTTGATTTTATTTCATCATGACCACCCAACTTCATATTTAGTGTCACCATGGCCACCCAATTTCATAAAACGTTTCTTCATGACCATCCAATTTCATATAACGTTTCAATATGACCATTCAACTTCTTTTCACTAATTTTAAAAGGAGAAAAACAATAACTTTGCATTATAAATAAAATAAAAATTTATTTTAAAAAATATAATAAAATAAAAAGTGATTTAAAACGTTACTTAAAAATTAAATAAAAATATATATTTTGTAAAGACATTACTTAAAAAAAGTTTTTATTTTTTTTAAGTAACTTTTTTTTTTTAATAAATTTTCATTTTATTATTATTTTTAAATAATTTTTTATTTATTTTTAAAAAAAATTATTTAATATATAATGCAAAGTTACCATTTTATACCTTCTAAAATGAGTAAAAAGGGTGAAAAGGAATTGGGTGGCCATAGTGAAACGTTATATAAATTGGATGGTCATGGAGAAACGTTTTATGAAATTGGGTAGTTATGGTGAAATAAAATCAAATTGGGTGACCATGATGATACAAAGCCTTTGTTTGAGCCCCATTTTGGAGGAAATAATGTATTTTGAATAGTAAATTGATGGAGCATGTGTGGTTAAAAGTTAAGGAAAAATTTTATGTTTGCGTTAATATTATTTTATTGAAAAATGTGTGATTGAAAATGAATTTTGAAGAAACAAATTTTTAGAAGAATAGGGCTCAAACAAGGGCTAAATATAAAATTTGGTTCCCATGGTGACACAAAATACAAAATTGAGTGGTCAATGGTGGATTTAACCCTTACTTTTTATGTAATAAATGTTTCTCATGACATATTTATACATGTCAATACATTCATAAGCATACATGAACTTTCAAGAAATAAAATATTTTCAAATGTCAACAAGTCAATGACTATTTCAAAAGGCATGTATCCCAAACGTTTTTATTACGAGGCGTATGTCTATGCCATGAAAAATGTAAGTGGAAAATGTGGCATGGGTTATCGGGCACCCAACCAATGTTCAAAGATAATATTAATGCTAACCGCTTTACGGTACTATCGGCCTGATTAATCGGGTTTCAAATAATAATTGTCCACTTAATTGGGTAAGCGATACACCAAGTGAGCTCATGATATGAATATTAAGTTTAAAATGAAAGAAAAAGGGATACATATCAAGAAATATTTTTTAAAGAATTTCATACGCATACCATAAGCATGCATCGTATGCATGAGGTTTACTTACTGAGCATTAGCTCATTCCACGTTATCCCTCCCTATTTTCAGATGATAAATGCAAGATGATTCGAGACAACTTGTGGTGACACGGACTCGGTACTCATATAATTTAAATATTTATTTCTTTTTGAAATAAAGTCCAGTTTAAATTGTCTTAAATTTTATTCAGTACACATTATTTTCATAAATTAAGTAATTGGTATTTATCATGTTAAAGAAAAAAACATAACCATATTCTGCATTTATGATTTTTTAATAAAAAATTTAATGATAATAGTTTCAAATTTAGGTATCAAAATTTGGGGTGTTACAGTAAGGCTTAAGAGCTCAAGTGGCTAAGGTACTAAAAACTAATCTAATTACTCAACCAATTTTTTATTGTTCATCTCCATGGAAAATTTATGGGTTGAAAAGTGTGTGGCCTATGCAAATATGCAAAGTACAAAGAACATTATAATTGTACTCAAATCACTTCAAACCAACAACCGTAGCTTGACATAATACACAAGTTTAAATCAGCACCCTTTAATATGAAAATTCAATATTCGAATATCTCAGACTGAGGGAGGGAAACAATCAGCAAGAACATTACCTTAGTGTTCCACTATGGCGGAGAGAAGTCTGCAAAGCCCGTCTTGAGTTCTGTATCCAAGGATGTGAAAGTAATGTCTTTGCATCAGGCCTGTGTCTAGCATCCTGAAACGTTATTTTAAATGTCAACTGGAGCAACTAAAATGCAAAATGACACGGATATGGCATTGGTCTCACTTCTTCCAAAACCAAGCAAACGACATTATTTTGTCAAAAATAAAATTACCAGCATAAGAAAGACATGCAAGAGTCTCTAGCAAAATGGCATCACCCAAGAATCAGGATACAATTAAATCAAGCTAATATTGGATTGTAACAATTTAGGACAAGAGAGCCAAAACGATTATCCTATCTAACCACTTGTCCACTGGAGTGAAAATTCTATCATGGCTAGATTCAGTTCATTAATTACTAAATTGTGAATTCCCATCAAATTATCAACATATGAACCAGTAACTTAAATGGTACGCTCACTTGAATTAAAATTAATTCACATTGTATATATAGGATGCGAGCAAATTTCAATTGCATTTCACCGTGTGTTTGCTCATTTTACTGGAAAAAAGGGTGGAACTAGGATTTGATAAATGTTTGTCCTCTTATTTTAATTTTCCTTTCTTTTATAATGAAGTTGCTAGTTAACCATTCCTATTACAAATTTACCTTGATCTTGTTTGACCTTGTCTTCAGTATATCATTTTCTCTTGGCCAAATCAATTTGTAATATACAAGCAAATAAAGGGCTTGCTATTAATTATGTAAATGAAGAAAGCCCAAAATCAATTTGAAATATGAAACAGGAAAACCATTGCACATGAATATAATCTAAATGTTTCCAGCTCACCTTCTTAAAGCACTGACGCAGGAAATCAGTAATAGCAGGAGATAGACTATCTGGAATTGGAGGATGCTCATCCTGGAAAACAAGAATTAAAATAGTATAACTCTTCCAATTTAAAGGAACATAAAATAAAAAGTTAGGAGTCTCTGTCCAATAGTTATGGAAGAATGTATCAAGAATTTCCTTCTCTTGTAATCGTTTCTTTTTCTTTTTTTTCTTTCTTTCTTTTTTTTTATTTTTTATTTTTTTATTTTTGTGATCAATTTGATAATCATGGATTAGCAAACAACGGGATGTTAAACCACCATGAAATTCCAAACTATGAAAGTGAAATGCCATCTTAAAGGATGATTGTAATTATATGATGATAATAAATTCAAACTGATATTTTACCTGCACGATCCGAAAGAGGGCAGGCATGGGCTGGAGATCATAGTATGGTGGTACACATGTGAGAAGCTCAATCACCGTGCAACCAACACTCCAGATGTCAGATGCAGCACAAACCCCCGACATTTCAATGACCTATAACATTTGACATGATTATCAATAAGATGTCAGAGATGCAACCCAATACTTTGCACTATACATATTACAACTCGTTGCGTTACTCCTCGAAATTCACATTACTGGATAAATTACAAATCTAATACACATCATGTATCCCTGCCAATGCTGCGTCATAGAGATATCAATCCTCCATTGTGTGTAGTCTATAAAAGTACACTTCCTTTACTTCCATTAGAAACAGGACAGAGAAACCTCTTGGCAAATCACCAGCAACATTAGCTGCCTTAAGGTAGTTTATCTTGAACAGAATTTTTTTTTGATTGATGGTGAAAACAAGATGCTCCTGACTGAATATTTAGGTTTTGTTTCAGACCCATTTTCATATAATAAAAAATTTCGTTAGTGATTTTTTTGGAGAATGTGCAGTTAAAAAGTGGGGCAAAGTTTGGATTTGTGTGTAAAATTATTTTATTGAGAGTGTGGTTAAAAATGAGTTGAGAGAAAAATTAATTTTAAAGAATGGGGCTCAAACAGGGGCTTAGTTTAATTCACCGTCAAATCTTTGAACAGTCAGGAGAGAGGAGATAAGAAACTTACTGACCTTGTTTAAAAATGTTAAGTTGGGTATTGACTTAATATGTGAGGTCTAAGCCTCGAGGCACTTTGAGGCGTAAGCCTCAATATAAACCAATAAAAAGCCCAAAGTATTATAAAAATAAGGATGATACTCACAATAAACCATAACATTGTCTAGAAAACCATTAAAAAAATCAACAAAACTAAAAGCCTAACTTTCCACCAGAAATATAAAACGGATCAACAAAGTAGCAAACTATATTAAAATGGTTGGCTCATTTTATAAACTGTTGATAATCATTCAAACCGCTTTTTATTAAGAGTCAAACCGCTTTTTATTAAGAGACCCAAAAGTAGTACCTACTTATCCATCACTCATTTCATTTCTATCTATTTATTATTTAAACCAATTGTAAACAACTTCCAAACATGCAGTAAGACTGAAATCTAAAAAACAAATGAGACAACTGGTTATCACCGGACACCAGATGTCTTAAGTTGTATGCATAGAGGGCTAAGGAGTACAATTCCCATATGACCCAAGGCTTGCACCTTAGTAAGTCGAGGTTTAACTCATGACAATGAGGACTTAAAAGCTTAAGATTTCAGGCTCTCCTGATGCATGCCTCAAGGCATAAGCATCAGGTCCATCACAAAGTATATGCGAGAACCAAAAATCTACGAAGATTGGTAAGCATCATCAGCCACCATGCTGATCTACAGAAAATGCAAAATATAAATTACGGACGGGTAATTCCTATAATTTACTGTTACATCTACCTAAGGAATTGTGCTTCAAACCAAAGAAAGTGAATAATGAACTGGTTGTAATAGCATTTACTTGTAAGACTACACCTTTTTAACTTTTATAAACAAATGACACAGAGGTTCAAGAAATATACAGCAAATCAATTAATCTTTTTGCTTGTCCACAATGAATTTTGATTGTTGTTATTTTTCAAGTTCCACATAATCCACGGATCATAATTAATACTAGGAGTTAAAACATTTAAAAATATTATATTTCATTACATGTAACACCAATGTATGTCGTTTCTAAGGATCACATCCCCTACATCATCTTGGTAAACATTGTAATTCCTAGTTGGATGATGAGTTGAAATGGCTTTACAATTGCACTAAACCCTAATATTGCCTAACGCTATCATGCATGCACACAACTTATGCCCATGGTTAGAAATACTTTCCACTCGATAAATAAATAGTAACTCGATAGATTCCAATCAACCGCACTCATTCTAGAAGGGAATAGAAGAATTAACCTGAAAGTGGGGGGAGGGAAAACTGAATTCTATTAGAAATAGATCTATAAATAAGGGTAGAAGGGGGGGGGGGGGGGGGGGGGGCAAGAAGGGGGGGGGGGGTAGAGGTAGGCAAATATTGAGTGAGAGAAAGGAGTCTTGTAATCATTTCCATTTCTCTAATTTTCTGCATTTCAATTCAATCGAACATTTCTTTCAAATTCAGTTTTTCCTTTAGCTTCCTATCAAATTGGTATCAGAGCCGATACACCCTGATGGCGCAAAAGAAAACTGAAAGCAAGGTGGAAGCTATGGAGAAGGAGTTAGAAGAAGTCAATTCAGAAATTCACGGTTGTCAGGTTTGGAGAAATTGGTGGAAAACATCACCCAAACTATGGCGAAAATTCTGCACTTCCTAGAGGATACACAAAAGGCTGTGGCAACACTAATTAATCCAAAAATTGGGGTGATTCCAAACGTCGAGGGAGGAGGATCAAAGAGCATCACGGAAGGGCACGTTTTCTCTGGTACACACCAGGATGAACAGAGAAAAATTGATAAAGGGAAGTGGCCGGAGGGTTCAGTCAACACTAGTTATGGAGAAGTGATTGCAGGTACCAACTTAAGCATAGATGACAACAATTGGAGGCAAATTAGAAAATTGGAGATGCCAATTTTTAGTGGAGAAAATCCAAATGGGTGGCTGCTTCAGGTGGAGCGTTACTTTGAAGTTAATGGGCTGACCGAACAAGAAAAGATGGCTGCGATTGGGGTAAGTTCAGATGGAGATGCATTGTCATGGTTACAATGAACCGAAACGAGAACCCCTTTTCACACATGGGAACAATTTAGGCAGCAACTCTTGTTATGTTTCCAACCAACCCAAGAAGGCAGCCTGCGCGAGAAATTTTTGGCCGTGAAACAAGAAGGGATAGTGGCTGACTTCCGTCGTACCTTCGATGCTTTGGCCGCGCCTGTGCAAGGGATGATGGAGGAAGTGTTGGAGGCAACTTTCATAAAAGGGTTAAAGACAGAGATAAGGGCTGAGGTTTGCTTGTTATGTCCAAAAGGGCTAGACCAACTAATGGACGTGGCCCAGCGAATTGAAGACCACAATAATATAACAAAATTGGCAAGGGAGGATCCGGCGCAAGAAAACACTCCAACCTCCTTTAGCCCAAATCAAAACGAAGGAAGAAAAACAGAGTTCTTCCCTACACGATCTCTGATGGTAGAGGAATGGACAACCACTCCACGCCGGGAATATCCATCAAGAAAGATGTCAAATGCGGAGTGGCAGTTGCAACGAGAGAAGGGCCTGTGTTTTCGGTGCGACAAGAAATATACCATGGGTCATCAATGCAAGAATCGCGAGCTGAAGGTGCTGTTGGTACAGGAAGATGAACATACAGATCAGGAAAAGTGTGATTTGTCGACAAAGGAACAACCAATTGAGGTGGCGGAAAGGGTGAACTCTCATTAAATTCGGTAGTAGGTTTGAGAACTCCTGGAACTATGAAGATTAAAGGTATGGTGGCAAAACAAGAGGTAACAGTCCTAATTGATTGCGGGGCAACCCACAATTTTATTTCAGTGGCACTAGTCAAGAAGTTGGATCTGCCAATTGTGACGACTACAAATTATGGAGTTATTATGGGGTCTGGCGAATCTGTGAAAGGAAAAGGGATTTGCTGGGGAGTCGTGGTGGAGATGCAAGGGCTGACAATAGTAGAGGACTTCCTACCCTTAAAGCTAGGCAGCACCAATGTGGTGTTGGGGATGCAATGGTTAAGTAGCTTGGGTAGCATGGAAGTCAACTGGAAACTCCTGACTATGAAGTTTCGAATGGGAGAATCAATAATGAGTCTTGAAGGAGATCCCGGGCTGTACAAGGCAGAAGTCTCATTAAAAGCCATGATGACGGCTTGGGAACACGAAGGGCAAGGAAAAGGGTTGCCTGAATTTGAAGTTCGTGGGAATCAACGAAGTTTTCACCTTGGGGAGAAGGTGGATTTGGAAACCGGGGGTAATGATAGATTCCAATCCACCACACTCATTCTAGAACGGAATAGAAGAACTAACCTGCAAGTGGGGGAAGGGAAAACTGAATTCTATTAGAAATAGATCTATAAATAAGGGTAGAAGTGGGGGATAGAGGCAGGCAAATATTGAGTGAGGGAAAGGAGTCTTGTAATAATTTTTATTTCTATAATTTTCAGCATTTCAATTCAATCGAACATTTCTTTCAAATTCAGTTTTTCCTTTAGAGTCCTATCATAACTCTTCCAAGGTAACATTTTATGTGTGCTGGCAGTTGACACTCCCGGAGTTTGAGTAAGCTAAAAGTAACTTAAAGATACTTTTAACTAAGCTTTTGTTTCCGAACATGTTTAGAAACATTATTTTTTTCTAAAACTAAAGTAAAAAGCTATTTATTTTGAGAGTAAGACATGAGTTGCTTTGAAAATAAGTAACATGCTTGTTTTCAACTTTGACAAACAAAGTAGTTATTTATTTTAATGGTGGACATTTTAGGTTTTGGCCAAACATGAACTATGTCTTCGTTGACACCATAAAACATCAATACTACGAATCCTCCTCTTTTTATTGTCGCGTCAGGACTTCTAAAATCTGTGCAGCAGCACAGCCAGCTCCACAGATAACTCCCATGATACTTAACAGCATACATTAAAAAGATCACCAAACACAAACAAAAATTTATCCAACAACTTTGCAACCCCTCTCCATAAACCAAGTCATACAATCAACGACAAAAACTAGTTGCTCAAATCAAATCCAATCAATCAATTTTTCGATACTCAATTTTCAACAGTTTTTTTCTATTATGGAAAATAGTGTAAAAAACATCAAACCACTCTTTGAACAACAGATGGTCTCGAATTAATTGGAAGCTGCAAACACCATGTCATAACTTCCCTAAGTTCATAAAATGTCAACAATGTGATGTAGGATGAACAAGAAAGAAAGAAGAAGGAACGGGGAGGAGAAGCAGAGAAAAGGGAGAAGAGGAGAAGAAACCAGAGGAAGAGAGGGGAGGGAGAAAACGGCTGCAAGCCACCAAAAATATTTCAATTCTAATTCATCATCAACTGCCTCAAATGAGAAACAAAACAGAAATAACTAGTAGAACACAAACCCTAAAGAGAAGGGCTTGGG